ATGGGGGCGGGGGTAGGGCGGAGCTCTTCCCGTCCTCTTTTTCGCTTGCTGAAATATGGTAACCCTAGTCAATTAGGAACAAAAATCTGGATAGAAAGATGTTGTGCATTATTGAGCACATACAGACAGATGTATAACCTTCAGAAAGCATACCTGCCAGCAAACATTGTCTCGGCCTGAGCTGCAATTTCATCTATGTCAGGAACAATTGCTGAAAAGGGAAAAAAAAAAAAAAAAGCACATGACCATAATTTAGTTTTCACAGGTAAAGAAACTATTGTCTCTGTTTAAGTACGTGCAACAAGCTGAGGCCCAACTACGGAGTCCTTGGCTAGGCAAAACTCCATTTGAATCAGTCAATGGAAATTTGCCATAATAAAGAGGGAAGGATCAGGCCTTAATTATTCTCATTTGTATGGCAGTAGCCTAGTAGGCTAGAAGCCCCAGTCATGTACCCTCTGTGCTAGGCGCTGTACAAATAGAACAAAGATCCATGCCCCCAAAGACTTTGCAAGCTGCATCTTTCATATTTTCTTTGATGTAACCAACCCCTCAAATTAGCAGACAATGACACAAACCTATTGAAGAATTAGTGTGAATTGCCATTCCTTTTGCACCCACCCCCTCTGCTGTGTCAGCAAAACCAGAATACCCGCTTCAAATCTCTTCATAGACCGTTCCAGGCTTTTTTCTGTGCCACTGCTCTATCCATAAACATTTTCTGCCAACGGTTCATCAGCCCCACCCCCCTTTAAAGTCCTCTGAAAACCTCAGTTCTGCCACAAGGCACACAAGACCCAAGAAAGAAAAACAGAGCAAAGCGTAACTATCCATCCCCACTCCATCCTCCATGGTCCATTCTCACTCTCATTTGTTTTGTCACGTAGCAAACCTTTGGGAAGCGTACAAATGAATAATAAATCACCGTCATAGGAAAACTGAATCAAATTTTAATTAGAGCGCAGCAGCCCAGCAAATATCCATTATTGTGGGCACCCCTCTAGCTTTCAATCTGGAGTGACGTGCAGCTTTCTGAAGTAGTTTTGTTCATTGCTTACTAAAATTTCCGCAACAATAAACTGCAATACAACAGCAACAGTTACCTGAGGCAAGGCCTGGTGTGTCTGGTGGAGAGATGGTGGAGCTATCAACATTCTCGCTGTCTTCTCCAAATTCTTTCTTATAGATAGACAGCATGTAGGATATTCTATAGTCCAGTCTAACACTAAGGATAAACTACAAGACAAGAGTTTAAAATAAGATACAGGTTTTTTTTTCCTCTAACCTGTTTTGTGAGAGGGGAGGGAGCTAATTTTAAGTGGGCTCAAGTCCATTACTGAAAATAAAACAGTTATGTTTTTCAAATGATAATTTTTGTGATTTCTTTCCTGGAATTGGCCTCCCACACCACGCTGCTGCATTTAGGTTGCACCTCCCTCACCATGAATATCTTAGTCAGGTCAGACTTGTCCAGGGGCTCTGGGATCTGCCCATGGTACCAGATGACTATTCCAAAGCTGCATGGAAACACTAAAGTCAAATCATTTATCTTTCAGTGCAAAATACTAGTGGTGATATCCTGGCCAGCATTTGCTTTTTGAGGATACTTTGTGGTGAATATATACCTAAAGACAAAGGATTATTTCTGAGGTTTGCTTTTTTAAACAAACGTAACTTGCTCATTGGATTTACACCAGGGTAACGGTGATCAGAATCTGGCTCTGTGAAAATATTCACATGAGTAAGAGCAGCAGGATTTGGAGCCGTATACATTTTTTTCCTGTTTTAGGTGTGCTTAACCCTCATTGTGCCTGTATTGTGGTATAAAACTGGTGTGAAGGGGGGGGTTAACACAAGTATATAGTAGACCCTCAAAGGTACGAGCATCAGAGTTACAGACTGACTGGTCAACCAGATACCACGTGAAACAGCAGAGACCAAAAAAAAAAAAAACAAACCAGCAAGTACTGTATTGTGCCTGTATTGCATCTTAAAGGTAAGCACATCTGCGCTGCCTGTCCTCCCACCCCACCCCCACTCACAGGGCAGCCACTTACAGAAAGACGCTGGGGCTGCTAGCCCAAGGCAGCTGGAGCAGCCCTGGGGTCTGCGCAACTTTCACCATCCCCTTCCTCTCCCACCCCCCTACGAGGGGGACATGACTCTCTCCTCTCTCTCTCTCTCTCTCTCTCTCTCTCTCTCTCTCTCACACACACACACACC